ATAATTTATATACTATAAGCAGTGTGTATAACGTATTACACACACGCGCGCACACACATGTATATAGATTAATTAATTTTCTATACATATAATCTAGTTGATTGCTAAATGCGTCGACAGGTTCTAGGAATCACAAAACAGATTTAATTTCCTTGTAATATTAAGTATGCATGAACATGGGCTTACTTCTCATTCGGGTAGTTAACAAAAGATTTAATATCAAGGATTTCTGTTTTTTTAATTTGCTTCGTTTTTTACTTCTAACCTGCTTCGTGGTGTTATGCTTAATGCTCAGGCATTTAAGAATACACGAAGAACAAGTTTACCTGCTAAACGAATAAAATATTACACAGTTTACGTTATTGGTGGTAGTGGACCAATATGGTAATACAATATGGTTCTTTGGTAATACTTTAAGGGAGAGTAAAGAATGAATTGATAACATTATAGAAGGAAAATAAGCGAAATAGTGACAAACGAATACAGTTGATTTTTACACTTCTTGACACCATAATTTTAAAAACTGACTATTTGATAACGTTGATTTTTCAAGGGTTCGATCAAGAAAAAAATATCAAGACCTTAGTTAAAGATGACAATTATCCAGAAAGAGAAGGTGTTCATACAAAAAATGTTGTGTACAGAGATATGTTTATTATCGTTTCATGTTTTTAGACTTATTTGCTTTAGATCAAAATACAAAAGCTCCATATTCTGCTTCTTACATTTTTGTTTTCCTTCATTCATGTCCAAGTAATTTATATAATAACAGCAGTGTTTAAAGGATTTATCTATTTAACACATATTCTATTCTCGTATATATTAGATCGTCAAGAAATTAATGTCGCTTTTTTAGATAAAAAAACAAAACAAAACATTTATTAAATAAAATTGTCTCCATACTTTTCCATCTTGCAATCAGGTTATTAATGCCCTGGTTAAAGAAATCACTTAGATTTGAAGCAAAAAACATGTCGATGTCCTAATTAACACATTCCACATTTGCATACGTTTTCCCATTAAGATGGTGTTGCAGCGAACAAAAAGGATGGTAATCTCATCGTGCCATATCTGGAGAATATGGTGGGTGGGGGAGAACTTCCCAACCCAACTCCATAATCTTGTGTTGCGTGAAACGTGCCACACGTAGAAGTGCATTGTCGTGGAGAAGAAGAACACCTTTCCGATTGACGAGTGAAGGGCGT